CTGAGGGGAGGCACAGGGATTGGTCCTGTTGGCATGGTCCCTGATGCTACCGGCTGTCCACTAGCCGGTATCGCCCACCTGCAGGTCGGGAGCAGCCCCGCATGTTCTCTCGTGAACACGGTTCTGGCTGCTATGGGGTTCCCCTAATGCCTACAATTAGTAGTAGTGGTAGGTAGGTAGTGTGAGGTGAAATTGAGAGAACAATATAGCTTTTCAAAAAAAAAAAAAAAAAAGCTTTGCATCCACAATATTTCTGGGGGATGTTTTGTCGAAGGCCTCCATGTGCACCCAAGACTTTGTGCGCTCCCGTACCCTCGTGCACTCGTCGGACAAACCTTCCAACAACAGCCTCCATGTGCACCAGCGAAAGCATTGCTACCGGTAGGCCTGCAGTGTACTGATGGGTAGTGCAAATCGGTTTGTAGAGGCCAAGGACCAGACCCGCGGTGATTGCTGGTAGCGGCAGCCAATGGTTGTCCTGACAGGATAGGCCACCTACCCTACCCACCCCACGTGAATACTCCCAGTGCACCCCCTGTCCCTACTATCCTACCTCAGTGTGACCAGCACTCAGGACCATCCCCCTACCAGTATTGAGGGCAACTTCGACCAGACAGCTGTGACAAGCACTAGGGCTGGGCCAACAACTTCCCAGCCCTAATGGAAGCGGAAGCGGACGAACCTTGCCGTATGGGAACTTCGGACGCCAGGGCCAGGGCGGCCAGGCTCATGCAATCTTCTACAGGCCCAATTCAGAGAGTCTACCCAGCAGGATTATTTAAGCAAGGCAGGCCAGCGCCCGTGGACACATCCTACCGTCCTTCCCCTAGCTTACCCAAGGCTAGGCGGAACTCAGACTAGCCGGAGTGACTTATATCCCTACCCTACCCTAGAGCTAAGCGATGCATGCGTAGACCCCGTCATATACCCGATAGGCGCCCCCAACCCAGTATCGTAGTTGTGTGTACATGTGTGTAGCCAGAGGCTATGCGTGTTTGTATGGGCCCATAGGGCCATGTTTTTGTGTCTGCCTGAAGGCTATGTCTGCTCTGTGTAACTGTATACGAGATATGTGTGCCCGAAGGCCAGATATGTGCAGTACTATGTAGAGGGAACTATGTGTTCGTTTCGAAGAGATGACAGGCCAAGCTGGACAAGAGCCCCCCGCAAAGTCCCAATCCAGGCTTGAACTCGTGATCTATGACATGTGACCTGAAGATTCTACCATTTGAGCAACAACCGCAAACGGCCCCTGTGTGTGTAATATGCCAGACTGGGGAGATCAACAGAACAACCACGAGCAACAGCCACAAGCAATCCACGCAGTATCAACGCAGTATCGAGACCCGACATACAACGAACACCATGGACGACCCCTTGGGTGGTGCGCAGGCAGTGTCTGTATAAGCTTACCGTGCGTCAGCCCAAGGCGGTGTGTGTCCAGCCGTGCGTCATTCTAACGCCATACTGGTGTCCATGCGCAAGGCTGCAATTGAGTTTTGAACCCGCAACCTTATACCACAATGCGCATTTAGGGGGGCTGCTCATATCACCTCCCTAAGTGGTGCCACGACTCGAAGTTTGGAAAAAAAAACAAAAAACAAAAAACAATGCGCATTTCCAACCGGTGCTCTAAACACTGAGCTACATCAACTGGACAACAAGGTTTGCCTACGTACTTTGACGGGGCAAGTTCGTTCAAGTCACAATAGAGTTTCAAAATGGGGGAAAAAAACATGTACAGGCAGCTTGCCACCCTTCGAAATAGAGAAGGCAATAAAAGAGGCGTGGCACTTTGTAATAAGCGCAGATGTCATAACTACAGAGGCGGGCGGGCCGTGGTGTGCAGACGGGC